GGACCGGCATCCTCCAGGGATGCTGCTGGTGACGGTGGTGGGACAGGAGGGAGCAGCCAGAGGGACAGCAGCCAGCCCGTGCCTCCCCGGGGCTTTGTTCTGCCTGCGGAATAAGGTGGGGGGACCCAGCACAGGACTCCTGGTCCCCTTCCCCATGCACCCCAGCACCCAGAGAGCGTGCAGGCAAGGGGAGAGGCAGCACCCTGTTTTCCCTCACCTTCAGCCCCAGTCCTGGCCCCAACACCCCACTTGCTGGACTCAGAAATGATGATGGGATGCAAGCGGGCATCTGCCAAAGCCCCTCGGCTGCTTTGCACGCCTCCCTCCTCCTCCCTCTCCCTCCTTTTCCAACCACCCTTAATTAAACTGCCTGAAAGCCACCGCCTGGTTTTAATTAGAGCAAAATGCCAAAGATTAGGCTGAAACCAGCCCCTGGATGTTTACAGGGCTGTGGGTTGATGGAGGCAGTGGCAGGCTGGTGGCTACTCCCTGGGGCCAGGGGAGCTATTGGGCACATTTGTGACCTCCAGGGCTATGAGGGGACCCACCACCAACCCCACCACATCATCCCACCACCAACCCCACCACATCATCCCACCACCAACTCCACCACATCATCCCACCACCATCATCCCACCACCAACCCCACCACATCCCACCACATCATCCCGCCACCTCCGACTTCCTCAAAAATGTTGCCGACACTTAAAACCACGAGACCCCTTGATGTTAGGTTTTTTCACCCAGATCCCTAGGCGTGGGGATGGAGGATAGAATGAGGCCAGGCTGGAAAAGGTTCTGGCCCTGCCCTGGGCTGTGATTAATGTCCACCGGAGGTGCCTGATTAATCAATATCAGGCATCTCCGCTGCTTGTACCTTGTTATTGCCATCGATGGCTTAGGGAGGGACGATGCTTTCATCCTGGCTGGATCTATAGCTGGTGAGCACGTGTCCTGGGTCCTTCACCTCCTCAGGAAGTCAGAATGGTCCCAATGGGACTTCTTCCTCCTACTGATCCCCTGCCCCAAGGTAGAAACCGGGGACAGTGTGCAAGTATCACAATCTCACCGGCTTTTAAAACCCCCTCCCCATCGTCCCTCTCCTCCCACAGAGAGTTTGCTCGCTGGAAGGTGAATAACTTGGCCTTGGAGAGGAAAGACTTCTTCAACCTGCCCCTTCCCCTGGCCCCCGAATTCATCCGCAACATCCGCCTGCTGGGGCGCCGGCCCAGCCCTCAGCAGATCACAGACAGCCTCATCAAGAAGTATGGGACCCACTTCTTGCTGGCAGCCACGCTGGGAGGTGAGTGCTGGTGCCTGTTGTCCTCCCAGCTTGCTCCTCCTCCCACCAGGCAGCCTGGAAAAGGCGGGAGGGCAGGAAAATAAGCACCTTGTGAGAAATACGGCCAAGAAGGGGAAGGGGAGGGAGCTCAGCAACCCCCCCCTGAAAGCATTGAATGTTTTCTCCCCACCAGGAGAGGAGTCCTTGACCATTTTTGTGGACAAGCGCAAGCTGAGCCGGAGGGCAGAGCCTGCCAGGGGGGCTGGGAACAGCTCAGGGGTCTCACTGGAGACCCTGCACCAACTGGCAGCCTCCTACTTCATCGACCGGGAGAGCACGCTGCGCCGGCTCCACCACATCCAGATCGCCACGACCGCCATCAAGGTGGGCCAGGGTGGGAGGGGGAAGGTGGTGGCACAGGGTGGGGAAGGCACCAGTCCCTCCGAGCTGGCCGAGGACCCTGAAGCAGCATCACACCTCGGGGGGAGGGATGGTGGAGCCGGCAGAGCTGGCACAGACGCGTTATTGATGGGAAACTGGGCAGACTAACGAAGGCGCGTTTTCCAGCGGGGCTGCCGCCTGTCAACAAGCCAATTAGCAGGCAATTAGTTTTCCTCTCCGGGCATCATGGGGAGCAGGGCATGGACAAGCCTGGGGCAGGGGTTGTCTGCAGCACTTTTGGGTGCCTCTCCCCTTAGGTGACAGAAACTCGGACGGGGCCGCTCGGCTGCAGCAACTATGACAACCTGGACTCTGTGAGCTCCGTCCTGGTGCAGAGCCCCGAGAACAAAGTGCAGCTCCAAGGTAGGGAAGGTGGGGACAGATGAGTGCCAGCAGGGGATGGACGCCGGCTGGAGATGCTGCATTTAATTTTCAAAGGGCTGGGGAGGAAGGGGAGGGGATGAAAAGCATCAAAGCTGGGCAGGACGAGGTTGTTGCTCGTCTGCCAAGAGGAGCCGAGATCGATGCAGAGCCCAGACAAGCGGCTCCACAGCGAATTGATATGAAACTGTGGGAGGCTCGGGGAGGGGGAAAGCTCATTCCCTCCTCACTCTGGGGGGGTTCTGCATGTGCCCTGACCCCCTCTTGGGGCTGCCTCCCACCTGCAGGGCTGCAGACGGTGCTCCCCTCCTACCTGCGGGAGAGGTTTGTGGCGGCCGCGCTCAGCTACGTCGCCTGCAGCTCGGCCGGGGAGCTGGTGTGTCGCCGGAGCGACTGCCGCTGCCGCTGCCAACCCGCCTTCCCCGCCTGCAACTGCCCCGAGGTTGACATCCAGGCGCTGGAGAACAGCTTGGCCCAGCTCCAGAGAGCCTGGGAGAGCCACCACAGTCAGTTCGAGGAGTCAGGTGAGGCTTGTGGAGGGGATCGATAGAGTCGTTAAGGTTGGAAAAAGATCGTCAGGTTCAAGCGTTCAGCCAACCATTCCAGAGCACCATGTCTACATGGTTTTTGAAGGTCTCCAGGGGTGGTGACACCAGCACTACCCTGGGCAGCCTGTGCCAGGGCCTGACAACCCTTTAGGTGAAGAAATTGTTCCTCATATCCAATCTAAACCTCCCCTCTGGCACAACTTGAGTCCATTTCCTCTTGTCCTGTTGCTTGTTACTTGGGAGAAGAGACCAACCGCCCTTCGCTCCAACCTCCTTCCAGGTGGTTGTAGAGAGTGAGAAGCTTTCCCCTCAGCCTCCTTTTCTCCAGGCTAAACAACCTCATTTCCCTCAGCCACTCCTCATAAGACTTGTTCTCCAGACCCTTCACCAGATCCACCAACCACCTCTTTACCTGCAACCCGGGGGGGGGGGCAGACTGGGCTGGGTAGTGGGACTGCAGGGTGGTCATCTTACCATGAAGACCTGAGAGCCTGGGTGAAGGGAGGTTGCCTGCCTTCACCTCTTGCTCTCCTGGCTCTGCTGATGCCATCTCTTTCCCCCCTCTCCGCAGAGGAGTTTCAGGCCCTGGTGAAGAGGCTCCCCGGGGACCGTTTCCTGAACAGGACAGCCATCTCCCACTTCTGGGCCATGGACCTGGATGTCCAGCACCGTTACCAGCAGCTGGGCACCAGCCTGAAGCTGCTCTCCAGGAAAACCCACCGACTCATCCGGCGACTCTTCAACCTCAGCAAACGCTGCCACCGGCAACCTCGCTTCAAACTGCCCAAGGAGAGGTAGGGGATCACAGTGTCCTACTCTGAGGACACCCCTCAGAACCCCAAGATGGGCTCAGACCCACAGCCCACCTCTCAATGGCTAGGACTAGAGGAGCTCCTGCCTGCTGGAGGGATGCTTGAGGGTGACCAGGCAGTGGGGACCAAGCTGTGCCACCTTAGGATGTGGCCCTGAGAGGCTGGATCCAAGCCTGGAGGTGGAAAATAGGGCTTGGTTCATGGGGAGCCACCAGCAGGGCAGAAACATGAACTTAAAGTGAGCAGCTCTTCCAGCCTGCACCCCTTAAGATGCCCCTATAAGCATCTCTCCTCCTGCATCTCTTCTCCACCAGGTCCCTCCCTTACTGGTGGAGCCGCGCGCAGTCGCTGCTGTACTGCAGCGAGACCACCGTGCCTGGGACCTTCCTGGAGGAAAGCCACAGCTGCACGTGTCCCTCTGACCAGCCCTCCTGCCAGGGCTCCATACCGTGTGCCTTGGGCGAGGGGCCAGCCTGTGCCAGCTGTGCCGAGGACAACGGCACCCGCTGCGGGACCTGCAACCACGGCTACGTCCTCACCCAGGGCTTCTGCCGCCCGGAGGTGGCCGACTCCCTGGAGCACTACCTGGGCTTGGAGACAGACCTGCAGGACTTGGAGCTCAAGTACCTCCTGCAGAAGCGGGACAGCCGCATCGAGGTGCACTCCATCTTCATCAGCAACGACATGCGCCTGGGGAGCTGGTTTGATCCCTCCTGGAGGAAGCGCATGCTCTTGACCCTGAAGAGCAACAAGTACAAGCCCGGGTTGGTTCACGTGATGCTGGCCCTCTCCTTGCAGATCTGCCTCACCAAGAACAGCACCCTGGAGCCTGTCATGGCCATCTACGTCAACCCCTTTGGGGGAAGCCACTCGGAGAGCTGGTTCATGCCTGTCAACGAGGGCAGCTTCCCAGACTGGGAAAGGACTAACGTAGATGCCTCTGCCCAGTGTCAAAACTGGACACTTACCTTGGGCAACAAGTGGAAGACCTTCTTTGAAACGGTCCACGTCTACTTGCGGAGCCGCATCAAGTCTCTGGATGACAACTCCAACGAGACAATCTACTACGAACCTCTGGAGGTGGCAGATCCCTCCAAGAACCTGGGCTACATGAAAATCAACAGCTTGCAAGTCTTTGGCTACAGCCTGCCCTTTGAGCCAGACGCTATCCGTGACCTGATCCTCCAGCTGGACTATCCCTACACCCAAGGCTCCCAGGACTCAGCCATGCTCCAGCTGTTGGAGATCAGGGACAGAGTGAACAGGTTGTCCCCCCCTGGCAAAACCCGCCTGGACCTCTTCACTTGCTTGCTCCGCCACAGGCTCAAGTTGGCCAACAACGAGGTGGCCAGGATCCAGTCCTCCTTGAGGGCCTTCAACTCCAGGCTGCCCAACGCTGTGGAGCAGGAGATGGGCAAGCTGTGCAGCTAACAGCTGCTCAGATCTCAGAGCAAGGGGGCTGGGAGAAAGGACTCCCTGGATGGGGGAGGGGGGAGGGAAAAAAAAAAAAAAGGAAATAACCACCCTAAAGAATGAAATCAAGGCCTTACCTTAGTGCCAACCACGTGCTTCCATGGTGCACCCAGCGACTGGCCAAAGAGAGGCAGGGCTGGAGCAGATGGAGGGTGCCAGGGGGAGGATGGAGGAGGGATGGATCACGCAGCACAAACTGGCTCCGAGCCTGAGGACAAAGCCAGTGTGGCCACCCCATCATTGGCAGGGGAGATGTGGCTTGCCCAAAAGCAGCTGCTGGTCCTGCCGGAGCAGATGGTCAACCCACCATGAGGACCCTCTAGCAGTGGCCTCCTCAGCACCCCAACTTTTGTAGTCTTTTTAAGAGAGGATTTCTTACCGGCGCCTTCGCTTCTCCACCCCCCTCCATCCTTCCTTCCTGCAGAACCACACCCCAGGCCCCTGAGGCCCAGCAGATCAGCCCCTGGGGCCTCTCCACGAGCATCCTGCACCAGCTGTGGGACCGAGGCATCATCACCCCTTGGGTGGGAAGGACCTGGCACCTGCCCTGCGGACGCTGCGGTCACAGAGACCTCTGGGTTGCAATTCCCTACAGAAAAAAAAAAGAAAAGAAACCTTCAACAAAAGAAAGCAAAAAGGAAGAAAAGGGGGGGAAAAAAAATATCTTATTTATGTATTTATTTCTTTGTTTCCTTTGGGAGGGGTTTTTTTAAGCCTGTTTATCTGGGGAGTGTCATTTCTTGTCAGTGGCTCCAGCCAAGAGACGACTTAGTAAAATGTATCTGTTTAATATATTTTTTTAAAAAATGCCTTTTTTTGAGCAAAAGAGCAACCAAAACCAACTGAGATTAAAACAACAACAAAAAAAAAGAACAGTGACAGTCATCTCTGGCTTTTCCCTTCCTGTGTGGCAGGAGGGGACAGCAAGGAGACTCCTGCACGTGTCCAGCTGACACGTCCCCACACCATCCTGCTCTCTGGATTTTAGCCAAGCCTCCTGAGGAAGGGAGATGCCACCACATGGGCTGGCCATCTGTCTCCTGTCCATGTCTTCATTAACTCAGAGGGATGGGCTCCAAGGTGTCCCATTAAGACCGTAAGGCATGCCTGGAGGCAGGGAGGGATCCTGGAGCTCCTTGCTTGCTCCCACTGGCTCTCACCTTTGGTCCCAGCAAGGTGTCTGGAGCAGAAAGCCCCCAAGCAGGTGGGAGGGACCCATGTGGCACCAGCCATGCCTCATGTCCAACCTGCTTCTTGTCCCATGTAGGCATCTACCACACCTTAGGGTGAGCAGTGCTGTGGCTGGATTGCTCACTGTGCCACATGCTCCCTCTTTGGGGGTGTCAAGCATGGCATTTGGGAGCTTCACTTGATGACCCTTAGCTCTGGTATGGGATGAGATATCTGACCCCCAGCCACCCTTTCTGGCTGGTTACAACTGTGTAGACAGGTAAGACAGTCACCTCTGTCCTAGCTCCATTGCTTGGTCCCTATCCATTGGTTGTTCCATACTTCTGGTTTCTCTATTGACCTCCTCAAGACCTTCTCATTTATCATCCCTTTAGAAAGGGCCCCAAAGCAGGTGCAACCCATCCTGGACACCTCCCTCTGCTACACCCAGCAGAGGAATCAAGGAGCAGTGGGTTTCCCTGAGGCCAGCATCTCCAGCAGCCCCACCATGGGAAGCTGGTGGCATCTCCAGCATCTGCTCACCACAGCCTTGTGAAGAGCTGGGTGGAGGGGACAGACAAGCTGGCAGCCTGGCCAAGAGCTGGGCTCCCCTCCCTCCTTCCCTGGTGCTGCCACCCTGCTCGGGGCCTGACTGGAATATCAAGCAGCGGTGCTGCCTGGCTCTCTGGTGGAAACGTGGGCACCCAGACAAGGAGAGCTCACTGCTCTGGTGCCTGCTATCATTTCATGGCTAAGACAGGCTAGAGAGAGGAAGATGATGACCTTCTCTTTGGAGCATCCCCATCAGAGGGGGGTGCAGGCAGAGGGGATAGGCAGGGGAAAGAAAACAACCAATCCCATGTGTTGGTATGGAGATCCAAATCCTCTTCCTAATCCTCCTTGGCTGGCAAAACTTACCTTCTTGGACACTGCAAAAGTGGTGGTAACCCAAACTCATCCATCCTGCTTCTGTCACCTGCCTGTTCCTCCATCCTCAGGCTGGGCAGATAAAGAGATAAGCAGGAGGAGAGATAAAGAGATAAATGAGAGGGAAATAAAACAGAGGTAGATAAACCATGCTTGCTATTTATATTCCTTGTCTAATCTATCAATCCATCAGGCCAGCTATTGTGGTTGTAGCATCCCTCAATCTGTCTCCTGGACTTCTCCATACATCTGTCTTCTTCTGCTCACATCTCCTACCTTGTCTCCTCGTCTCAAAGGGAGGGGAAAAAAAATAATCCACCCAACACACCAGGAGGAATTGAGAAGATAAAGCCATAATCTGTGTTTCCCAGGGGAAGCCAGCAGACATCTGCTCAGGGATGAGGGTGGAGAAGAGGAGAGGGAGAGGAGAGGGAGAGGAGAGGGAGAGGAGAGAGAGAGGAGAGAAAGAGGAGAGAAAGAGGAGAGAAAGAGGAGAGAAAGAGAAGAGGAAGAGGAGAGAAAGAGAAGAGGAAGAGAAAGAGAAGAGAAAGAGAAGAGAAGCAGTGTTTCCCCCCAGGGAGGGGATTACCAGGCTGTGCGTGGGGTAGAAGCAGCCAGGTCCTCCCATCCCTGTTCAGCAATTAAGGCCCTCAGTGGAGGTGATTAAGAAGACAAGGTTAACAAGCAGAGGTCAGCATTTGATTACCTTGCAGCGTTTTGCCCTGCAAAGAACAACCCCAGCAGGCACGGGGCTGGCTGGAGAGTCACTGCCATGCCCAGCACTTGCCAGGATCTGGATGCAAAAAGGCCACCCAGGGCTTCAAACCTTCAGGTTTGAAAAACGAGCAGGTTTGGGGTTACTCGGGCTCTGGTTTGCAAGCCCCTGTATTCAGAGAAGATTCTCTGCAGCACAAAAGCCAGAAAGCTGCCTCTTCAGTAACAAGCTGAGCTCACTCGCTTGATTGCAGACACTCTGGTTCCCCCTGGACATGTTTCTTTAGCAGCTCTGCCAGGGAAAAGAAGGCTGGGGAAAGGCCAGGCTTGTTTCACCCTCAGCTCCAGCAGCGGGACAGGATTCTCTGCAGTACCCACCCCTCCCGGCATCCCCACTCACAGCTCCTGCTTGTTCCCAGCTCCATCTTGTAGCCCTGAGACAGCCAGGGATGGGCTGAACGGATCAGCTCCTGCTGTCTAACCTACTCTTCTCTTCCCCTTCCCTGTTTCCAGCCCTTTGCTGCAGCAGAGGCTGAGCCCCCAGCCCTGCAGGCCACAGGGCCAAGAGCATCCCTCCATCAGGCTGTGCCAAAACAGCAAGGACAGTTCTGCCATGAAGAGCCAGGACAGAGAGAGGCCGTGGGGATCAGTCTGCATCCCTGCCTCAGTTTCCCCCTCCCAGCTGATGCTGGGCCAGCCCAGGAAAAAAAAAAAAGGCTGGGATCCACAGGGGGTAAAACATCCCTGGGGGAGAAGGGAGAGCTGGGGAAGGGGTGTCCAGATAACAGGCTTTGCTGGCAGCTGCTTTTTGCCTGCAAGCAGCACCCTGGTGCAGATTTTGCTTGCACTCATCCCCACAGCATCGTGGCTGGGGCTGCAGGACAGGCAAGAAGTGGAAATGAGCCTTTTGGCTTGGCAGGAGGCTTCACACTGAGCGTTTTGCTCGGGGCTCCTCCAGCTTTGTTAGCTGCCCAGAAGTACCAGGCAGCTGCCAACGGAGCTGTTCTGCTGTTGGACAGCATTTCTGGGGGAGGCAGGCAATGGCAACCTGCCTGTGGACCTCTCTGTCACAGCAGGGGGCTGCTCCAGCTCCCTCCCTGTAACACAGTTCCGTGCTGGGTACCAGGGATGCTCCTGGGCACTGCCAGAATTGCCATTTACTCTCCCAAGCAGACCATAGGATGCCATTCCTGGGAAACCAGGATTTCCAAGGCAGAAGCTGCTCTGCCAACACCAGCCCAGGAAACTTGTCCATCAGACTCTTCCCACTCCAGGCTCACGGGTGGGGGGATTCACTGCCCCCCTTTCTTCCCCCCCTCTGCCTCTCCAAAGCCCAGAGACAAGTGTGAAGCTGAAACCTCACTGTGTCTTTTTCAGTAGTGGGGTTTTTTTCCCCCCCTCTTCCTCCCCCCATCCCCTTCTCCTGACAAACTCAGAAGTGCAGTCAAGGTGGCAAATTAGCACCAGAGCCTGGTTAATTGGCAGGCAGGAACCTTCTCCTGCTGTTTGGGTTTTCATCAGCTGCTTCAGCACATTTGCAGTGTCTCTGTTTCAGGCTATTTTCTCCCTTCACTGATGGTGGGCTGGGTTTTTCCTCTCTGCTCCAGCTCTTTCAAAGCCATCAAGGGCTCTCATCCTCCTCCACTGAGCCCCCTGGGGTTCCCTCTCTGGAGAGGATTTCCAGGCCCTGTGGTAAATGGCCACTTCTTAGGGAGCACGGGGGGGATGATTAACAGGTTCTGGAACTGATGGTGATCTCAGCTTCTTCCTCCCTCCTCTTCCTCAGCCTCCTGTGCAGCCTCCAAAGAAGGCAGGACGGATTGGAAGGGGCAGGCAGAGAGGAGGCAGGAGGAGGTTGCTGCCAGCTCAGGCAAGTGGGAAAGGTCCCATCCACCTTCCTGTGTCCCCCTCAGGAGCTTAGTGAGGAGCTGGGATGACTCAAACTGGAGCTCAGAAAGCTCCAATCCCAGTTTCTCAGCTCCCTTCTTCCCTCCCCACCGACTCCTCCTTAAGCAAAGGCAAAAAAAAAAAAAGCACCAACTTACCCATCCACCAGCACCCACCAAACCCCACCACCTCCTCCAGTGGCTCCCAGCTCTCAAGGAGAACCCAAAGACCTCTTTTAGGCACCACCAAACAAGGTCCCTTCACAGCATCCCATTCTGCAAGCAGAGGAACTTGCAGGGC